AAGGATGGAAGGCTGAGTCAACCCTGAGCCAGTGAGATTTGAACAGCCAACCTGCTGAACTGCAGTCAGCTGAAGTAGCCTGCAGTGCTGCATTTAACCACTGCGCCACCTTGGCTCTTAATGTAAGTGTCTGAACTGCCCAAATCTGGAGATACACCATCTTTTACTTTGGATGGGGTTGCATTTCTCCTTTCAAGGCCGGTATGAAACTTGGGGGTCTTCCTGAACTTGCAGCTTCTGCTTGAAGAGCAGATGTTAGCTGTGGCTACGAAGGCCTTTGTACAACACTGATGTGTACATCTGTACATCTGATGTGGCAGTTATGCTCTTTCCTAGATCAGAGGGCTCTTTGGCTCATCAACTAATCAACTTGTGGCTTGACAACTACAATGCTCTCTGCATGGGGCTGCTCTTGAAAATCACCTAGAAGTTTCAACTACAGGTAGTCTCGACTTATAACAGTTCATTTGGTGACCAAAGTTATAATGGCACTGAAAAAAGTGACTTATGACTATTTTTTGCTGCTGCAAGCTTTGCAGCATCTCTATGATCATGAGATCAAAATTCACACGTTTGGCAACTGGTTCATACTTACAACCATTGCTATGTCCTGGGGTCATGTCATCCCCTTTTGCAATCTTCTGAGAAGCAAAGTCAATGGGAAATCCTGATTCTGTTAACCGAGTTAATAACTTATCGACTGCAGTGATTCATTTAATAGCTGTGGCAAGAAAGGTCGTAAAATGGGACAAAACTCACTTAACAAATGTATCACTTAACAACATAAAGTTTTGGCTCAATTGTGGTTGTAAATCGAGGACTATCTATAGTCCAAACTGGCAGCATAGGAGAGAGACTCTATACTTCAGTTTGCTTGTCATCTTTTTTTCCTTCCTTTTTTAATGTTTCTAATTTCTTCATTTCTTGTGAGCCGAACAGTTACTTAAGAGTTGGGCAGCATACAAGTTTAATTGATGATGCTGATTATATTTCACTTCATAATTATTCAATGCATTCAATATTTTATATACTGCGGATATTAGAGCTTTTCTTGTCCTAATATGGTTGGGTGTGTGTGTGTGTGTGTGTGTGAATACACTAGTATTTCAGGGGAATTTAGTAACATTTTTCAAATGGTTGATTTTTACATTATAGTTTAACTCTCCCAAAGGGGCATAGGTAGTATTCAGTTTTATCTTCGCAACATAATCACAATCCCATTTTGTCTGTAGGGATTCATTCTTTCCAGCTTATTAGGCCATTCAAAGTAATGACAAATTTGTAGTTCCTAAATTCTAACCTCCTTCATCTGCATCTCTGAAGTGCTCTCAGCATATTGAAAGGTGGAGAATTCATTCCTGTAGACATACTTGGTAATGCAAAATAATTAGTTATACAGCTAAGTATTTATTTGTACTCTAAAAATAACCTTTGTAAGTGGTAGATTTTGAGTAAAGAGAATTTCTCTCTGCATTCTCTAGGTAACAATATCTAACAGGTTAATTAATGGAAAATTGATTTACTTCAGTCAAGTGACTGGTATTGCTGAGTTTATAAAATGTAGAATTCTGGCCACATTTTAATTCCTGACCTGTGTTCTTGATTAATGTTAAGTGTACAATTAATTAAATGGCTTTGGTGATGTGCGGTAGGAATGAATCTTGTC